ATGCATACTGCATGCGTATTGTGGAGGTGGGGGAGTGGGTGGGGAGATGGGGGGCAAAATAACATTTGATTTGCAGGACTTTGCTTGATGCTCAACATGGGCGCAATGCACATCCTGACAACAGCAGCAGTTTTGTGTCTTTCATGTGCCACGGTTGGAAGACTGGAATCTGCGGATTAGCTCATGGTCTTCTGTGTCTCAACACGGCAGTATGGGCATAGAACCTCAATTATGTCAATAGCGAAGATAGATAGAAGATTCTTGTGACAACCTTGAGGTCTGGGGCAAACCTCTTCATTCATAGGGTGGCTACCGGGTTGGAAAGGCGGCAGAATGAAACACATCAATCCACCGAGTGCCATTCTTGGACACCAGGCTGAGCACTACCAGGCTATAAGATTTTGTGAGGCTCAGTAAGGCTTATTATTCCTTCTATTCCTTAGTAGTGCATGGCAGTGTTTACGAAGCCTGATTGAGTGGATTGTTCCTCAAACATCACTTGAGAGCTGGTAAGCCTCGGTTCGTTCAGTATCTGTTTCTTGGCAAATTTGAGTGCCTTTCTTTTCACTTCACAAGTATTGAATCCTACTGTCGTTTAGTCAGACTCCACGTTTCCCTCTGCAGCCCAAGCTTACATATGCCTGTAGGGGTCAAGGTTGCGTGCCTGGAATCTGCAAATGAGCTAGTCGTCCGTTCTGACCAACGAAAGAAGCATCGGCAAAAGTTCGAGCGAATGGCACGGTATTGCAGGCATTGAATCTGCATGTCAATGACAAGGATGGATTGGTTTCAGCTTTGAGCTAGAGTCAGATCTGGAGCAACCCTCAGCATTCAGTATTGTCCTTCTCGTCAGACTTGGGCCTGCCTCTCTTTTCGCACCGCAAATCTTGAGTCCTACTTTCCGCCATCACCATTCGTACGTAGTTCAATCCCTCCACAGCTGAAAGTTTACACGGGCCTCGGAGGACCAACGTTCGAAGCTTACGTATAATCAGCCAGTTGCTTAGACTGCTTCCACTCTCCCACTTGGCGATGGCCATGGGATCATCAATGGCGGCGCGTTAGATCTCGTGTGTTTGGGCCAAGTAGAAATGGGAAATGATGGAACATTTCAAACAAATTGGTTTGCTTTTTACACCAAAACAACTAAATAGCATCAATGCTTTGCATGTGTTCAGACTACGCGCAATGCAAACGGGCCAAACGACACAGTGCAAACTGCAAACTACTGAAAGCCACAGTGCATTTCTTTGCCGGTGTGGTTTCCACACCCTCCTGATGCCGTCTGACTTCGCCACACAAGCGTCTGCTTCGCCCAAAACCAGACTCGATGCGAACGTGGCCACGTGAGTTTTGGATTCCATCGGACCTGCCTTGATGAAACATCCGGACATATTCCTAGAGGTCTTCACTAGTAGAGGCAAAATCCAATCTTTGGCTTGGCTACGCTTGGTTGGGTGTTCTTATTTGGCATGGTAGCTTCGTTGGCACGACAGAACTGACGCCGCAGCTGCCAGCTGGAGAGAAAAAGAAATGTGCTCGATAGAAAGGAGCCGCAAAATCAAATGGAACACGATGGAGGGCCAGAACCGTTGAACTTTTCAAATCACCACCGAACTGGAGCACTCGACCAGCGTGACAAAGCTGGTGATGGCTGTCAGGCAGGTCTTGTAGCAGACACACGTATTATGCTTGTTGCGCCAAACTGATTGCACATGATTTCACTTAATGACCTCCAGCACCAAAGCTCCTGAAACAACATCTCCAACTAAGTCAGTTCTGTCTCGAAACTATGCCAGCACATTAGGGATTAAACACATGCGTGAAAAGAGTTCAAGCAAAATCAAACTCTTGGTTAAGCCGTACCAAAAAAATAGCTGAGACCACCCCAGCAAAATGACAGGTCATGTATTTGAACTATAAATCTTCACGTCAAGGTCATCATCTCTTCTTTGCGGTGGAGGACTGCCCTGTATTTGCAACAATTCAAGGTCATCATCACCTTCAACCTTCCCTGCGTCTGACAGTCTGTGAGCTGAGATGCATAAGGAACAACAACCGACTAGTCTGCCAGAGACTGGCTTAAGGACTAAGAGGCCATGGAAGCCTGTGAGCGGTCAAAACCAAGGTTTGCACGCTGTTTCATTAAGGTCCTTTCCTCACACTTTGGTGTTCGCCCACTCAGTCCATGCTACCGGTCGAAGCACTTGTACCAGTCTCCGCCCTTCTTTGCGATGTTTTAGGGGAGGGTTGCACGCTGTTCAACGTGGATGTGAGGGCATATGGCGCAGGGTAAAGCTTTCGCGCGGAGAAACCACCATAAGACGATAGAAGTATATAGTTTTTCGGCGTTCGGAATGAATCCCAAAGTCCTACCAAGTCATGAAGAGGACGGCTCTGCATAGAAAGCCTGCGGAGGTGTGTCCAACACTGCCCTGGTTGAACTACCTGTTGTCACAAGCCTGACTTAGCGTTGACCGTCGCCCATGTGCCTTTGGAGTGGGCATCGCACTGGGCACATCGGCATCGCACTTACGTCTGGGACAGATCTGCAAATGACAGATCTGTTTGTTCAATGAGTTTCTAAGACTAGGTGGGCCTTCAATGCATCTTGATTGGTGCACACAGAGGGAGCCATTCATGACACATGACATATGACATAATCTCTGAAACTTGTGCAGAACAGGCAACCATGTCAAACCATCTGCGATGCGAAACACCGAGAGTTTGCAGGATATAGCAAACAGGTCGTCTCTCTTCTCACATCCGGAAGTATCTTAGGTGAAAGAGTGATTGATCTGGTTTGTGGTAACGGGCTTCCCAGCATGGAGCCCAAACAATCAGGTGCTCGACCTGGGCAATGCGAAGTTTGGGTAGCAGTGCTCCTGCCATGGACTCAGATGTGAATAGGCTAAATAGATGCTAGGCAAAGGCAGGTCTTAGCCAATACCGCCTCGCACACGTGCAAGTCCACCTGCCACAAAAACTTGGACTCCATGCGACCGATGATGGAAGAATCTGGCGAAGTGTCGTAGGGTCTTCACTGCAAAGGTGGAAAGCTGTGATTGGCTTTCACCCAGACCTGTTGTGTGTTACTCTCTGAGCAACAGGTTCCTTTATCCTGCATTTCAGGAAGAAGGCTTGTGGACTGAGTTTGGCATGAGACCTGCGACAGAATTTGACCATAGCGACTAACAATTGCTTAAGCAGTTTGAGCCGAGCTTGATGAATGGACAAAAAGGGGAAGCCTGCAAGAAGGCCCTGCTACCGTATCAGTGCCTGAAAGGGTAAGCCTCCAAGGAGGGTTTGACCGCCACTTCTGCATGTTGTTTCCTCCAAACATCTTAGCTGGCTCCACTGGCTCCACATATGTATTGCAAAACGATGAAACCTACATTGGATGACATGCTTGACATGTTGATGATAAAGTACTCTATATGACATGGTGCGAGTCACCATTTCCACCGCAGGCCTCTGCTGCACCTTGTAGGTTATATTGCTTGCGCAAACAATTCAACGGTATTTTGGCTCCTGTCATCAATGGATGTTCAGTGTATATCTTTGCATTCTTTTTCTGCAAGAGGACTCCGCTGTAGTTGC